GTTCTTGGACCTTTTGCAAGGTTCTTACAGGAAAATGGCATAGTTGCCTAGTACTCTACACCGAGCGAACCTCAGTAGAATGGAGTAGCTGAAAGACGCAACCATACCCTAATGGATATGGTGAGAAGTATGATAAGTTACTCTATGCTACCGATAAGTTTATGGATGGAGGCGTTAAAAACCGTCATTCATATTCTTAATCGAGTGCCAAGCAAGTCGGTGCCCAAAACACCGTATGAGTTCTGGACAAGAAGAGAACCCTTACTTAACTATTTATGTGTATGGGGTTGTCTAGCTGAGGCTAAAGTTTTTAACCCAAATATAGGGAAGCTAGACTCCAAGACAGTCAATTGTCATTTTATTGGCTATCCAGAAAAGTCAAAAGATTATCGCTTCTATTGTCCTGATAGACATACGAAGTTTGTAGAAACAAGACACGTTGTGTTTATGGAGGAAGAGATGATCAGGGGAGTAGAGTAGCGCGAGAAATTAACCTAGAGGAGAAGCGGGTACATGTGCCTACTCCGATGGTTCAGGAACCATTCTTCACGCTACCTGTTGTTGCTGCACCAACAATATCAAACACTGTAGTGACAACACCTATTGTTAGTTCTCCTGTGATAATAATGAATGAACATGAGGAACCTATCCCTCAGGACCCCATAGAACCCATTGTCACACAAGAGGAAGAGCAACAACAGCCTCATATAGAACAAGCGTCAACTAGCGAGGGCCCTAGAAGGTCTCAAAGAGTCGGGAAACTAGCTATTCCTGATGACTTCAAAGTATATTAATGTGAAGAATTTCAAATGGAGGGTGATCTCACCTCATTTGAAGAAGCCATGAGAAGCGCTCACTCATCCAAGTGACTTGAAGACATGCAAGATGAAATGAAATCAATGAGTACCAACAACGTTTGGGACTTAAAAACAATTCCTAAAGAAGCAAAGACAGTATGTTGTAAATGGGTCTACAAAACCAAATATGACTCCAAAGGGAATATAGAAAGATTTAAAGCGCGACTTGTGGCGAAAGGCTTAATGCAAAGAGAAGGCATATATTACAATGGGACATTTTCTCCAGTCTCGTATAAGGATTCTTTTAGAATTATAATGGCGCTTGTAGCACATTACGATTTAGAATTACATCAGATGAATGTAAAGACGGCGTTCCTCAATGGGGATTTGAAGGAAAATGTTTACATGGCACAACCAAAAGGTTTTGTTGTGAAAGGAAAAGAACATATGGGATGCCGCTTGAAGAAATCCATTTATGGATTAAAACAAGCTTCAAGGCAATGGTATTTGAAGTTTGATAGTACAACAAAGAAATTTTGGGTTTAAAAAAATGTAGAGGACAATTGCGTTTATTCAAAGTTCAAGAATGGGAAATACATTTTCCTAATCCTGTATGTGGATGATATCTTACTTGCTAGTAGTGATGTCAATCTACTACTGGAGACGAAGAAGTTCTTGTCCTCGAATTTTGATATGAAGGATCTCGGTGAAGCTTTGTTCGTTCTAGGAATAGAGATTCACCGAGATAGAACAAAGGGGGTTTTAGGTTTATCACAAAAGGCATATTTAGAAAAGGTTCTAAAGAAATACAGTATGTAAAATTGTAAGCCTTCACCTGCTCCCATAGTCAAGGGCGATAGATTTGGGGAATTTCAATGCCCCAGGAACCAATATGAGATCGATCAAATGAAAGCAGTTCCATATGCTTCAGCTGTCGGAAGTTTACAGTATGCTCAAGTGTGTACATGCCTTGACTTAGCGTTTGTTACCGGGTTACTTGGCAGATACCAGAGTAATCTAGGAATAGAACACTAGAGACTGGTAAAGAAAGTTTTGTGTTATTTGCAAGGCACAAAAGGCCTCATGTTAACGTATAGAAGATCTGATTCCCTACACATAGAGGGGTATTCAGATTCAGATTATGCGGGAGATGATAGAAAGTCCACGTCAGGATATATATTTACTCTCGCAGGAGGAGCTATATCGTGGAAAAGCTTAAAGCAAACCGTCACTACATCATCTACGATGTATGCCAAGTTTATAGCATGTTATGAGGCCATGGGGCAGGTGAATTGGCTAAAGAAATTCATACACAGGTTGAAAGTAGTAGACGACATACATAAGTCACTCAAGTTGTACTGCGATAATAATCCAGCATTATGTTATGCTCACAACGATAAGTCAAATGGTGCTGCCAAACACATTGACACAAAGTATTATGTTGTGAAAGATAAAATCTGGGATCATATAATTAGTCTTGAGCATATAAGTACAGAAAAGATGCTCGCGGATCCGCTTACCAAAGGCTTATCGCCCAACGTGTTCAGATAACACTTAGCCAACATGGGTTTAAGGGAAAGACTATGATTCCTGGAAAATAAAGGCCTAGTTAAGAATCTATTTCAAAACAGAGAGGTGCATTGTAGCTGTTAATCTAATGGCACTAGTCGTGACGATGAGGCATGCTCTATGCACTGATCTATGATGGAATAAGAACAAGGATAAAGTTAAGTCTAAGAAATGAGATGAGATCAAGGGGGAGATTGTTAGTGTTGATCTCCTCTAGTCCGTCCCAGGCCTTGACCTCGCGCCCTGATCAGGGGCGCCCAACCCTATATGGTTGGTGGGCCCCCGTCACACTATGCTATATATAGAGGTCGGGGCCGGCGGCTCTTTTCACGAGGTTAGCTACAGTCGCCCACCGAAAAACCCTAGCCCGATCGACACAGGGAGCGCAGCCATTGACGGGAAGCCGCCTCCGTCTTCACTGCCGGGACCCGACGCCGCCCCTATACCGCACCACTTCAGCTGCTACATTGCCACCGCCTTCATCGACTCGAACCGCACCACCGCCATCACTATGGACGGCTCCAGTAGTTCCTCCAAACCATCTGATGGTCGGTAACCTATCACCCCTCTCTCCCCCTTCTCTCTATCTTCTAGGTTTATATGAACTAGGACTTATTTATCATGAATGTAAGGTCTTTTACCCACTGATCTACACCGATGTATCCTAGGGTTTTAACAAGGTAGTGGCAGTAGGGTGTGACATCTCTGGCAGAGTATTGGCCCAAAGTGGGACATGCACTGGTTCACGCGGATCTCAATATAGTCGATATGTTATGTTCTCTATATGTAAATTATCTGAGGTACACTAGCATTAACTACGTCTCGTATTCAATAAAGAAAACTACCTCTGTTTGCTTTTACTCATCCCAAATTCCCAGTTAAGTTGAATGGATTTTGTGTTGGTTGAATTTGCAGTGGAAGATAATACAAAATTATTATACATTTTAAAGTATTTACAGATTGTTGAAAAAATAGTAGCATTTACAATTTGCATAAAACGATCAACTGTGGCAATTTTAACATAAAGGTGGGAGTAACTCTGATTCTTTATCATTTCAATAAAGCCTGCCACTTTTTTTTGTAGACTATGCAGGGCGGTGCACTTTTTGATTTTTATGGGAACTTTTTTGGCATGAACCTCTTCTGGGATATGGAAAGACCAATTTTCTTGCCAAGGAGTATAATTCTCGAACGTTTGGGGCATTTTCATACATCCTTGAAAAAGAGTGTATTTCTAAACTTGGTGAAGCAAGTCAGGTATGCAAATATATTTTCATTTTGTTTATCTATGTAGTTGCAGCTTCTAATGTTTACCCTTAATAACAACTTGATGGTTTGGTATGTCTACTCTCTAGTGAAAGATGTTTTCAAATGGGATAGCTGTCTTATCGCAGGTGTCACAGTTGCTCTGTACTGTAGGCTTGCAGTGTAGCAACATTCCTGTGTATGAAATATTGAAGCCAATATATTTGTCTACCTCAAAAGATGTTAGAACTTTTTATGTTGAGACTAACTAGTTGGGGATATGGTATCTCTTGACTAAGATTTTGTATACATTTGCTTAGTTCTTTCTTGTTTTATTGCATTATCTGCTCCTGTTGATCCCTTTTGGGTTAGTACTCATATTGATCTTCATCTACAGGGATAAAAAAAGACAACGAAGACGCATATGTGTGAAAATTTTCCCCCCTGGAGGTGAGTACACAACCGCTCGACATTGGTTATCAGATGTTTCTTTTTTTAATTATGATACAATACTATTTGTAAGGTCCTTTAGTGGTGCAAATAAAGCTTTTTCATCTATACTTCTATTTACCTAGTATAGTCCTCTATAGTTGTATTGTAATGTTAGAGCCAATCCGCTTACCTTACTATTGCACTAGCATTGCCTATGCGTTGTGATCACAAATAAGTATACCTCAGGTTCTGATTTTATAATGTAAATTTCCTCTGATTTCATATATTAGTGTGCCTATAAAAATCAACCGACTATGTACATATGCAGATAATTCAATACTGTAGTAAATAAAATGCTACATGCACATCTCAACGTAAATCTCAACTCCTGTAGAAGACTGAGTTGGTGATGATGGGGTGTCTGCCATCATCACCACTCTACCCCTATATGTCACCACCATATTTACCCATCATCCTGCCACTTATATATTACAAATCAGTTTCACCCTCACCCCAATCTCCTAGAACGACGTCATGGAACCAAGGTTCACTATATACACAAATGTACTCCTTCGATTTTGTATTGCTGTTGCAACACACGGGCAGTTTTTGCTAGTCCATCTAGAAAAGATCTGGATTGAGGGTGCATACAGCACATCATGATCATCACTGGCTCCTTGAAGGATAGAGATGTTCATGGATTTGTTCAAACACAATCACTTATAATATGAGTAGTCGCACAAGATGCAATCATATTATAATTTTACAATATTTTTGCAGAAATTAAGTGATTGTTGCATATTGTACATAGAATTAGCATGTCATTAGACAGGCAGAATTTGGGTTGACCTTTTGGGTTACCCTAGTCCATCAATGGATATAGTCAATCACAATGCCTACTGATTTATCATGCATTGAGCCTTTTTATAGCTCTTCTGTGCCACTAACTATTATACAATGTCTCGACAACCAGGTAGCATTAAGATTTTTGGTGACACATATCCTAATGGTGTCTGGGGTGAACTCAAGGAAGGAGTTGCTTCTCACATATATGGAAATCTTGTTGCACTTGCTTTGTTCAATGGTGATTTTACTGTAATGTGCTGTATACTATTTCACATTTGTATTTAGTCATCACTAGCTATTAGTGACAATTATGTTGCCCAGGTGAATCAAAATTATTTGCATGCACGGGATTTTTCATTGACTATGCTGATAAATGCCCGGCTATCCTGACATCAGCAAGCTTGGTTAGGAATCTTGATGGCACAATTATTGAGGGCTTAAGGGTTGGTGCTCTAATTATATTGTGCGATTCTTGTTCTTTCAAGACACTGCTTAAGTCACATGGTATTGTTTGCAGATTGTGGTGTTGCTTCCAAACAATGAACGTTGTGAAGGGAAATTGGAACATTATAGTTTACATTACAATGTTGCTCTTGCCAGCGTCAAGAATTATAATGTTGATTGTCCTGCGCTGAAACATCAGACGATGTATTATTCTACCAAGGTAGTAGCTGTGGGCCGTCGCTTTGAACCAGATTTAGTTATGGCTGCAAGTGGAATATGTACCAGGTGGTCAGGCAAACTGGATTGCAATGATCTTCGTTACACTACATGTACAATCACTAAGGTAGCACCATTGATTTTCTTTTTTTAATTGCCGCATGAATATGATATACTTAGCCTTGTTTACTTGGCATCACAACTGACAACAACCTCTCCATTTTAATTAACCTGGTTAGGCTGGGATTGGAGGGCCCCTTGTTGATGTCAACGGCAATTTTGTGGGCATGAACTACTATGATAGGAACATGGGAACTCCGTTCCTGCGGTTTGATCTTCTCTGCGGAATTCTGAACTATTTTAAGATAGGACAGTAAGTGTGGATTTCTCTTTCGGGTGTTGAAGTTTTTGTTAGTGCTGCTAACAGGTTTTGTGTTGCACTTGACTGAGATTTGTTGGAACATTTCAATAATCAAGTTGGAGGAGGTTCAGTCAACATAATTTTTATTGAATCCAATCTTTTGTGTTTGACAGAACAAATTATGAGAAGATATTACCTAATTCACGATTACTTGGTCGAGTGGCCCATATTGTTAAAGATGGCGAGAAACAACCACCAAACAGGTAATGTTGATACATGTCGTTACAATGAAATTACCACCTTTGTAAATATATATATGCTGATCACACTAGGATGTTGGGAAATCGTGGAATGACAGCTGGATGGGGGCTGGAGAAAGTGAAGATATGGATACACTACCGGAAACTCTTAGTTCGCCGAGTGCAAGAATCTTTGCCGAGTGCATCCTATCGGACACTCGGTAAAGAAGCTCTTTGCCGAGTGCTGCTACAAAAACACTCGGCAAAATAATTGCACTCAGCAAAAGAGCCAAAAAAACATTCGGCAAAGACTGGCACTCGGCAACCCAGAAAAAAAACACTCGGCAAAGAAATATGTTTGTCGAGCGTAATTATTTGGTACTCGGCAAAGAAATATATTTGCCGAGTGTAATTATTTAGCACTCGACAAAATTATTTCACTTTTTTCTCTTCTGACTTTGAAACTTTTTCTACTCTTCACATAGAACATGTGGTATTCCATGTTAAAATTTAGTATATTTCTAGATCTGTTTGCTATATTTAATTAATTAATTACATTTTTAGAATTTTTTTGTATAAGTCAAATTTGAACGGCAAGTGATTCAAATAATAGAATAAAATGAGTACAAAAATGATATTCATGTTATTGAGTCCAGTGTGAGGCCTTGCCTGGGAAATGAAAAGAAATTTCGAACATCTTGTTCAGAAAACACGACCACGAATGTGTGGCCGAATGATTTTTAAATTCTAAAAAAATAAACGAAGTCTAAAAATCATGAGATTTGTCATGATATGATGATATCGTACGTGGAGGCTGTGGTAAAAAATTGAGAAGGTTTTGCACAATTTGTCACGTACGATGTTTACAAACCGAAGCATCTCAGAAGAAGAATCGTAGCGTTGAGAAGGATTCGGTAAGATTTGGAGTCAAAGTGACGCTTGATTTGGGATTTGACTTAAAAACTTTTTGTATAGCCAATAAAGAACATAGATTGTTTCATGTGAAATTTTAGAAATTTTTTGGATCTGTTTGATAATTTTAATTTATTAAGTACAGTTATAGAATTTTAATTGATATAAATTAATTTTGAACCGTAACTGCATAAAATAATGGAGTAATATTCGTAGAAAAATCATATATATGTTGTTGAGTCAATTTGACGAGGTATTTTCAAAGTACATCGAAAAGAAGGAAGACAGGGTATGAAAAAAAAAGAAATGGGAAAAAAAAGTTTGCCGAGTGCCGTGATCTGACACTCGACAAACTTAGCTTTACCGAGTATCTCAGATTCGACACTATGCGCCTTATAAAAGTCAACCCTCCCTCTCCGGTCCCTTATCCAAAACACAAGGCCTCCTCAACTTCCATTTTCCCGTGACCATGATGAGGCTGCGCGCTAGGGCTAGGGCGGCTGGTCAGGTGCGCCGGTGCTTGAGGTGGGCGGCGGCGTGAGCAAGCAAAAGGCGACACACGGCGGGCATGACACGGCGGATCTCGACGACGGGCGGGCAGCGGCAGGCGGCGAGCGCAAGGCACGGGCGGGCGGGCGGCAGCCGTGGACGCGCAGCGCAGCGCGCTGGGTAGCGGCGCGCGCGCAGCAGGCAGTGTCTATACCACCACCGCGCGCGCCAGCCAAGCGTGTGCAGCAGTATCCGTCTTCATCTCTCCCTCACGATCTCCCGTATTCGACTTCATCTCTCCCTCACGAATCCTCGATTCGCATCAGGGCTACTCGCCGGCGCACGCGGCAGAGCTCCGCACGGGCGACCTCGCACGCCAGCTGCCGCCTCTGGGCTTGCGCCGCAACTCGCCTCGCTGCCTCTACCCGGCGCCATCTTCCTCCACGGTTTCCATCTGCTCGCCGTCGCCCTGGCCGCGGTCGAGATGACCCATCAGTTTCGGCACCCGCGACCTCGCCCCACCTGGGACGGTCGTCCCACTTTCCCTATCCGCCTGTGAGCGGACTAAATCCCCTCTAAATCACTGCTCCTGATTCCATCTTCAATTTGTTTAATATCAATAGTTATTGGGGAATTACGGGGAATCACTGCTCCAGATGGTGCTCGGGCTTGAGATGGTTTTTTTTTATATTTTTCGAAATATTTGTTGCCAAGTGTCGGTTTAGCACTTGAAAACGTCTTTGTCGAGTGCTCGATAAAAAAACACTCAGCAAAGACAGCTTTGTCGAGTTTATTTTTGTCGAGTGCCATTTGCCGAGTGCTTTTTGCCGAGTGTTTTTTTTGCCTTCGCCGTGGGCACATGGCAAACCTATGAATTCCGGTAGTGATACCCTCATGGATCAAGATGAAGGTGCATCTAAAAATGAACGTTTATCCATAGCCAAGCCCAATAGATATTGATACCGTAATGGAGCTTTTAGCGTGTACAAGTAGTCCTACGTACGGTCGTGGAGCTTTTACTACCATGTACATACAAGTTGTCTTTATTCTACGTACTCTACTGAACCTGACATAAGCTTGTTTTAGCTGGATTGCTTGACGAATCTTTGTTTAATATTAACGTTAGTCTCTGCAAGTGGACCCGTGTGCACGGCCTGGTTTCCAAATGTGCTGTCACATGAAACCATGGATGGACGATACCACACAACGGATAGTTTCTTAAGTTGTTTCTTGAGCTATTCAAGATAATTAAATGTTACATGTGTATATGACTATAAATTGAGGGTCCAGGCTGTAATCTATGTATGCACGTGATGTTGGATGCATGTTTGACCGCTGGTCGGCTGGGTGCGACGTCGGTGCCCGCGCCGAGCTCGATTTCATGCGCTGACATGACATAGAGATCGCCCATGGCCAAGAGTCTGTTTCGTATTGGGCCTCTGTGCCTACCTATTGTTCACTCTTTCTTCAAGTACGTAATCTGCCCTCTGACGATTCTCTTCTTCTTGATTCCCCAAATCCTGCTGCCTTCCTTTGCTGCCTCTAATTCTTTCCTTCCATCCCCGCTACCCTATGCTGTTAGCAATTGGTATCAGAGACACTCGATCCGTGGGCGATTTTGTTCTGCAATCCTACACTCCATCGATCGACTCGGCAAACGGATTGGGTTGGGGTGATCTCGATTTCAATCTGATCCGACTGAAGTTGTGTACCCTGCCTGTAATTCCCGTTCTCGCTGGTTGATTTCTGCTGGGTTCTGTGATTCTGGAGCTCCCTGCCATCCCTCACAACCGTGCAAGACTGCGGTAACCATATTGTTGCCTCGTAAGGTATGTAATTATGTATGAATAATGGCTGACATAACGAACGATGATGAACTTATTATTCTACGCTTATCCCATTGGCCAAATAAAAAAAAAATCAGCGGGCACCCCTTCACAATGCAAGTTGCTAATTAAGTTCGTGAACGAATAATTTTATCTCTTGTTGATAGGTATAAGAAGAAGTACAACACACAGTAGGCTGGATGTCCTCCTCGCAGTCGATTGTCAACTATTCCCTCCATCTCCCTCATCAGTCGATTGTCAACTATTCCCTCCATCTCCCTCATCAGTCCCTCTCCGTGGATTAGCTACACGACAACCATTATATTACGGAAACCACAGAGGTGGATTTAATCTCCTCTTATTATCGCATTGACCAAATAAAAATTTAAGTCCAAGCCCCTTCACAAGTTGCAAAGCCTTGTGAATTAATCTGTAGCACATTGAAGTAGTACTTATCATTTATTTTATCTTCTTCATATGCAAGAAGAAGTACAACAATAGGCTGGATGCGCCACAGTCCATGTCAACAAATCCTCCCTAAGTCCCTCTCGTGGAGTACGAGCAGAATGTACGGTACAATGTCATATAGATACCTAAACTCTAAAACTGTATTTTTTTTTAGTTTTCCAAACTTAACATAGGTGTCATGCGGGTCTAAAACTCTTTAGGCCCTGTTCGTTTCCCCTGAATCACCCCAGGAACAATTTCTGTCTGGAATCGTTAGTTTATTTATATAAGATTTCATTAGCCGAAATGAATCTTGGCGTCATACTTCCCTAAACGTACGAGCTCTAAATGTAATTTTTAAATCTGAACTTATCATTGACCGTTATCTAGGTCTAAATGAGCTCCAATATGCTCTGCACCTTGACGCCTATACCATGATGAATCCCCAGTGGTTCACTGGTAGATTCCAGGTGAGGAAAGGGTCCACATGCATGTTGGGCACTCCATCTCCGTGCTTGCGCATATCTGTCCCGGGCCTGATCATGTATATTTCATATAATCTAATAAATCCATTTTTCGTAGAAATAAGGCGCCTATATATGTCAATAGAAACAAAGAGAGAATGAGCCTTTATTAGAAGAAGACAACCAATGCAAGTGTCGTTGCAACTGGGGCAATCTCGGCTGCATAATCCAGTTTTTTTTATAGGACTGCATAATCCAGTTAATTAATAAGTGTAAGGTTGTTAAACTGCTTAGCTTCTTGTGGCTAGAAAGAAAGTCAAGTCAACGGCGCAGCGACAGGTCAGTTGGGTGGCATGTCATGTCCCTATCTAGGATTAATGACAGCAACTTTCTTTGAACCTTGCCAAACACGCGTAGTTTCGTTTTCGTTTGAGATTACAGTACTAGATGGCAGTGACGCCTTCACCGTGTCAGAACAGTCTCACGCGGTGCATGAATGGTCTCTGAACTTGTCAAGTAATGTTATTTAGGTTCACAAACTTTGAAAAGATATTTATTATGTCTCCAACTTGTTATTAAATAGTACAGTGCAGTGATCGGTATGGTCGACAAATGAACCAGCGGAACAACATTTAACAAGTTCATGACCCAAAATGCATTTCAAACAAGCTTATGGATCTAGAAGTGCACTTTCAATTTTCAGAATTCGTAAACTGGTGTCACCTCTTAATAAATTAAGAGGCCGCTTTGTTTAGAATCATCATTGTTGTGTCAGTGGGAGTGATCCATCAGCAGGCCGCGCGACCTGGCCGGTCGTCGATGGAGAGAGTTTTAATTAATTGTTTTATTTATTAGATAATAAACAAGTTGATGTCTCCTTCACCCGGTTATCACGCGGTGCCATCGTCAACAAGATATATAGAGGCTTACTGTGTGTATAGGAGTCTGTGTTAGGACTAGGTGTCATGTAGCCTGCCTACCTATCAGTGATCGGTTGCGATGTGGGACGGGCTGCAGAACGCGGCGACCGTGGAGCAGGCCGTCGGCCTCGACGGCTCGACGTCGGCGGGCTCATCTCCATGATCGGGCAGGCGGCGCGGGCGGCTCGGCAAAACACCAAGGACTGCGAGCACCTAGCGTGCCGCGTCAGCATGCTCGCCGAGCTTGTTCCCTGTCTGCAGGACCCGGAGGCCAGGCGGGTGCTGGCCGGGCTGGACGGGACGCTCTTGGAGGCGCACAGCCACGTCATGTCCTGCCAGAGGAAGGGGTTCGCGTCCCAGCTGTTCTCGGCGTCTAGGGACATCGACCGCAAGATCGACACCTACCTCTCGATCATCCCTGTCATCAGCTACATCGGCATAGCACGCCGCCTCGATGGAAATCCCAGCTCCCGTTCTCAATCCCTGCTGGTACGTGTTCATCTATCCGTCGTCAAGTCTAGAAATCACACGTGGAAGGGGTGGGCAATTAGCTAGAGCAGCAGCCAGCAGGTGCTGTAGCGCTGATTGCAAAAGAGGGTAAATCGTCCACTTTAAGATTAGGTCCGTTTGGGATCCCAAAACTGCTTAACTCTCTCTTTCTGTGCCGTCGGGAAATGTAATCTTGTCTTGGATCCCTACTAGGATGTGTCGGGCAGAGCTGAGGATGGGGAGTTCACGCTGACCGAGATCGTAGTGGCCACCAACAACTTCGCCGTCATGCTCAGCGACGACGCTGACTCTGGCACCAAGGTGTACAAGGGCAAGCTCTACAACGGGCCTGAGGTGGCCGCTCAAGCGCCTAAACCGCGAGCGGCGAGGCACGGAGGACGCCTTCTTCAAGGAGCAGCACATCCTGTCGCCGCTCCGACACGATCACATCGTCCGCCTCTTGGGCACTTGTGCCGACGACGGCGAGCGCATGCTAGTCACCCAGTACATGCCAAACGGCTCGCTCTACGACCATCTGCATGGCCGCAGTCAACTGTCATCATCGTCGCCTATGACTGCGTCGTGGAAGACGCGCGTGCAGGTGCTACTAGGCGCGGCGCGCGCTGTCGAGCACCTGCACCGCCACGCCATGCCACTCATCATCCACGGCAACATCGCCTCCTCCAACATCCTCCTGGACGCCGCTTGGGAGCCATGCCTGTCCGGCTTCGGCACATCGGTGCGGCGGGCGGCGGGCGTGACGTCACAGGCCGTGGAGGTCGCCGGCGCCGCGTCGTGTGGTGGGTACGCAGACCCGGAGTACTACAGCACGGGCCACATCAAGCCAGCCAGCGATGTTTACGGCCTGGGCATGGTGATGCTTGAGGTCCTGACAGGGCAGCCCCCCGTGGTGAGTGTCTGGGACGAGGCGAAGCAGGATGTAGTAGCCATGACCATGGTGTCGTTCGCGCTACCGACCATCCAGGCCGGTAGGCTGGGGGACATGCTCGACAGACGTCCGGCGCCGCAGCCGACAACGTGGCAGCAGATCCAACCGCTGCAGCTGGTGGCCAACACAGCGGCTCGCTGTCTGTGCCTGCATATGGGGATAACCGCCCTGCCAGACGTCGTCGCCAACCTCGAGCAAGCGCTCCACCTCCTATGAATGAAAACATACATGGGCATTTTAAATTGTACAGTAACCTTGTTTATTCTGCTGTATGTGGAACATTGTTTGTTCAAACGTTGTGTTCCTGTGCAGTTGTGCTTCTTGAAGAGTATTAGTTAGCTAAACTCAGTTAGATTCATTAGACAGAGTACTGAATATATTCAGTGAGAAACTGATAACAGAAAAGTAAACTAGTGACGGGAAAAGAAGCGTCTCTATAAATTTACGTCTACGATGTGGCAACATGAGTGATGGGTTATTCACCGTCTCTTATATATGCATAATAGTAATGGTTACCGAGAAAACCCCGCCTCTATATACACACAATAGAGGCGGTTACTAGGAAAAACCGTCTCTGATATACCTAATACAGACGGTAGCAAACCGTCTCCGATATGTTCACAGTAGCGACGATTATCTATCTATACTATAAAGGAGCAAAAGAATTAGAAATTAAGTGTCTCCATAAATTTAAAGCTTCCTACCCACTTTAGATCTCATCCCTTAGATTTTATATCTAAAGCTTACAATTAGTTGACAGATGGACCCAGAAGAGAAAGACTGCAGAAAGATATGAAACATGCGTCTTTCCCATTGCGGAGGACTCGTCGTTCGCGTTTTTTTCAACGGCAACTTTGCTACCCGCCTGCAAAATTAAGTTCCTTTCTTCTTATCCTTTCCCAGCGCCGCCAATCATCCTCCCACCACCAGCCTGCCCTCGCCTCACCTCCCCCCCCCCCCCATAACTCTCCACCTTTTCCTCAATTTCTCAGGAACCCCTCTAAGTGCATTAACCCCCCAAGTGCTTGTCAGATACTTGAATCCCCAAGTAAGTCATAGGCAAGCTCCTAATCTTACAGTTTAGCATGTTTGCAACTCTATCTTTCTCCCTATCAGACAGGCATAAAGTAAACACCTCAGATTTATGGAAGTTGATTTTGAGACCTGTCATCCGCTCAACACAATACAAGAAGAACTTGAAGTTCATAATTGTCTTATCATCATAATCCATAAATAGGATGTATCATCAGCATATTGCAACTGGGTTAAACCACCATCCACTAAGTGAGGAACCAACCCCTTAACGTGACCTTTTTTTCTTAGCCTTGTTCAGGATATTGGCCAAACTATCACCCACCAAGTTAAAAAGAAGAGGGGACAGGGGGTCACCCTGCCTCAAACCCCTATGTGTCTTGAAATATACACCATCCGCCCCATTTATATTGATGCAAACTCTACCTCCCTTAACAGTCCCCATTATCCAATTCACTAAATGATCTTCAAAAGCTTTCCTTCTTGACACCTCTTCCACAAAGTCCCATTTAACACTGTCATAAGCTTTTTCAAAGTCAATTTTCATAATCACCCCCTTTTTGTTTCCTTCTTTTCATCTCATTCAAAGTTTCATGCAGGATCACCACCACATCCAGATATATCTACCTTAATTTGATAAAAAGAGGTTTGACCCTTATATCTACTAATTTATCTACCACACTTTCCCAGTCTGTTCATAAGCAAATTTGTAAAAATCTAGAAACTGACACTACTACAGGAAACTTAACCGAGGCGGGCGAAATGGCTTAACCGAGGCAGGCAAGCCAACCCCCTCGGTGCAAAGGTCACGGTTAATCGTGGCCTTAACCGAGGTGGTTGTCCAACCGCCTCGGTTAATACATATTAACCGAGTCTGTTGTTGTAAATCGCCCGCCTCGGTTAAGATTTTAATCGAGGCGTTTGAGTAAAGACGACCGCCACGGTTAAGATTTTAACCGAGGTGGTTTTTATTACTCGCCCGCCTCGGTTAATGATTTCTAGATTTAAAAAATGCTTTTTCAAATTAGAATTTAAATTAGAATTTAAAATTTCACTAATGAAAACACAAATAAAGCAGAAAATATATGACAAACATATATTACATTCATTCTCGTTCCACGAACTACATTAAATTATTACATTAGTGTAGTCTTCATCATTGTTTCATCACAAACACAAATCATTCGTACAACAGCAACTAAGGTCATTCGCATACATATCATTTTTTGGTGGAAAAGAGGTCCGACAGAATATAATCCAACATTCGTAACTTCGTGCTCTAGTTTCTGATCGTATCGAACTTTGGATCTTGTGTAACTTGCTTTCTCGGTTGAAGAATGTATTCCCTTCATGCGCGCTCTCTGTGACAAACTTACACATGTCTGCCACTATTTGTCTGAATTCTTGGTCGACCTTCTCCCTTTGCCACCATCCTTATGCTTTCTTGAGCTACCGCTAGCAGCTACTAAATCTACTGCACGTCCTTAGGTACTCGCAAACATAGAATCCACATAGAACTGAGCCATAGGGTTATTTAGCGCACTGCACGGTGTACAATACACAATCATTAGAGCATATATAATAAGCAATCAGTAGGAGTAGTAGAACTAGTAGTATTGAGTAGAGTAGAGTAGAGTAGAGTAGAGTAGAGTAGTAGTACTAGTAGAAGTAGTAGCGGTAGTAGGAGTGCTAGAGTAGAGTAGAGTAGAGTAGTAGGTGTAGTATTAGGGGAAGAGCAGCAGTAGTAGTATAGTAGTATTAGTATTGGTACTTACCGGGAAATCACGCCTGAGTTTTAGTTTCGTACCATACTTGATCTTCTTTTCTCTAGATCTTCGATCATAGCAGTCGGGATCTTGCACATACTTCTTATAAGCGCTATATGAAAAACCACTAGTGTCAACGACATTTTCAACAAGTATGTTAACTGTAAATGGATAAGTTCTATCACATACTATCTCAAACAGCTTTCAAATTGCTTGTACTCTGCTTTGTTTGTATCCTGCAAAGAGTCAAATATACAGGCCCTTCCGTCCTGAGGATAGATTATAAATGCAATCCAGTGGCCCATGATGCCCTGGCTACACCATTCGCACAATACAGATTACAAATGTTCAAACATGAGATGTCATGATCTCAGTATTTCTTTTGGACTTACCTAAACTGGTGGGCGGCCATGATGCACCTATTTTCCTAGACCTTCTTCATGGCCTCATAGATGTACATTCCCGCCTGATACTTATATTTGATTACCAGATCTTCTCTGTATTTCTTTCTCTCCTCCTGGTTCAAGTTCACCAGCTTTTTATGAGTGTTTGGTATATCGTAACCCGCGATGGTTCTCTCTGTAATAAGCATCAGAGAGAGATAGATAATATCCTTGTCCAATTCCTTGCTTACATAGGCTTGCATCCTGCAAGGAAAAGTCATCATGGCATTATTAGTTTGTTCCTAAAGTACCTACAGCGATACAGTAGTGTCAAAGTCATAAGGACAAATAACGTCACTTGAGTGACGTCAAGGTCCTTTCGCCGTAGTAGTCTATGCATGTCATGGAAATCTACGATGACTTGACCATCCGTGGGCATGTGGAAGTACTCCGTCGGAATGTTGATGATGAAGTTTTGTAGGCACACTTTTGCTGCTTCCATATACCACAGATGGAACCTCCTTACCTAACACTTCTCTTCAAGGAGGTCGCCCAAGGTCAACATGAACTTCCCATGCACGTAGTTTTCGGGGCAATCATTGGACCGGGGCCAAAACATCGGCGGTGTTTTCGGCCTGCAACACCGGGGCTTGAGATGTTAGCGAGTAGAAAAAGCAGATAGCATTTTGAAATAAATTATAGATTGACTTGCTTGCTAGCAACATACCTTTCAAACGTAGTTGAGTATGGGTGCTCATCGGCTATTTGATAGGCCACCCAACTCAACTTGGTGTGGTTCGGGGGTATGGCCTCCTCTTCATCTGTAGGCTTCCTCGGTAGGGGAGGACATTGGTTTGAGCCCTACTTGGAACCAATTATAGGCGGTGGTGTCACATTGCCCGATGCTGCCCCTATGCCTCCCTATGGATTGCTGCTGCTGGGAGGCGGACTGCCTAGAGGACTGCTGCCTAGGCCGCCAACATTGTCGTTGTCATTGCCGCCGCCACCGTCGTCATCACCTGGGTCACCCAGGGGAGACGACGGCTGGTGTGAGGGCTGTGATGGTGGCGTCGGCATCTCCAAGACAATGTCGTTCTTGTTCCAAAGCACGCGCATGCCGATAGTAGCGCCAGTACCCATCTTTAGTTGGAATGTCGATTTCATCCTCGTCAAAATCTTTGTTGGTCCATGTCACGTTGACCTGGGCATAATATGGCAGGATCGGCTTGCCATCGTACATTGCGCTGCTTTTGGGAGGATGTGCCACTCCGGTGGCCATGTCCTTCTTCCTCTATGCCCTGCCGAAGGGCACCTAGAGCGTGCAGTTCATTGGTTCAGTGATGTCATCGACTGGGTACCTGGGGAGTTGTCCGGTCCGTGACACCATCTACCCTTGTACATCGGCTTGACCCTGTGGTAGTAGCACGCTAGCCTAGCGAAATATCTGTGTCCTCAGCTCCACCATCTGGGGGTCGGTGCTCGTGAAAGCCTCTTGTATCTTCCCTATGATCATGTCCTTGACTACCTCATCACGGCCTTTCTAGATGAGCCCTTCCTTGTACCTCTGCCTTGTGTGGTAAGAGGTGGCGTCGGATTGCCAGGCCTCCACATCCTTCTAGCTCTGCCTCGAGGAAACCCCACGGATGCGCCGCGGTGCTCGGGGTTTCCCAACGCCTTGGTTAGTACGTCCCTCTCTCCACAAGTTTTGAAGGACCCACTCTTCTCGACCGTAGAGACCTCCAAGATCCTCTTCTCCACCTCCTCGACCCTTGGCTCATTGTACTTGGTCCTGCCCTCCTTCAACTTTTTTGGCTTGCAGGCATAGTGGTAGTTACATGACCTCTCATCGATGCCTTGTAATGGATTCGCAGCCCAGCCTCAGTTGCCTCCCTTTCTTCATGCCACCACTTTCCCGTCTTTGTGGCATACCCTGTCAAGCCTAGGTGGTGGTGGAGCTCGTTCCTCTTTGCGAGCTCAGAGAATTTCTCGCCCTTGGCCTTTGCTTCTTCAGTCATTTGTTTCACGACAAACTTAT